GGGTAATTCGTTACCATACAAGTGTGGCGGCGTTACCGACGGCATACCTTAGTAGCCGCAGCCTATGCAGACGGCGCTGCATTTATTAGGGCCCCTTTTTTATCGACACCATCCCAGACCCAGGGGCCGGATTCGGAGTTGCTTATCGCCTTTCACATCACCTTAAGTTCAGGTATGCCATTTTACATCTGCACACGTCCATATTACCTCTGGTATCGGATATTATAGAATTCCCTCCAGAAAAGAATAAATATAAAGCATTGAAGGAACGCATAATACAGTCATTAGACGAAACAAGTGAAACAAAACTTCGGAAGCTTCTCCGAGGACAATCCATAGGTAACGAAAAGCCATCGGTCTATTTACAAAAACTAAAAAACTTATCCGGAGGACAATGTGGCGATTCAGTCCTAAAAACATTGTTTCTCGAACAGTTACCAGAACATTCTGGATCCATTTTAGCAATCTCCGAGGTGACAGACCTCAACAAATTAGCAAACTTGGCTGACAAAATGGACGAAATGATAAAGCCAGCCATAAACGAAACTGCGAGTACTTCGCAAACTACAGAGCCACACGTTTCCGAAATAGACTTCAAAATAATTGAATTAACTAAAGCTGTAGAATCTTTAACACAACAGTTTCAGCGTTCCAGAAGTCGCAGTCGAAGTGACCGCCAAGGAAAATGGCACAACCCTCAACAAAATAATAATCATAGAACCAATACTTCACAAAATGGTCTATGTTACTACCATTATAAATTCGGAAACAAGTCCTACAAATGCAATAAACCTTGTTCATGGGTCAACCCGCCTCCTCGAAGGGAGTCGGAAAACTAACGACCCGACCTCACCTCCAGACGTGTGAGGGCGGAATGCCAAATAAAAAGCGTCTGATTATTACCGACAGGAAAACGGGCGCAAAATACCTGGTTGATACAGGGGCAGATGTGTCCGTCCTCCCAAAAAATCTAAGCAAATCAAAACTACTACCCTCGCCTTTTAGACTTTATGCAGCCAATGGCACTCCAATTAACACTTACGGCGAGAGGTCCATTTTAGTAGGTCTAGGCCTACGCAGAGAATTTTCATGGACATTCCTAGCAGCAGATGTCTCAAAAGCCATTTTAGGAGCTGATTTTCTCCAATATTATAAACTATTAGTAGACCTAGCAAACCAAGGGTTATTAGACGGAACTACAACCCTATACTCACAGGGACAAGCCGTCAATACCAATGAACCTACTCTTTTCACCTTAGATGTGAAATCTAAATGTTATAAAATCCTCAGGGAATTCGTCGACGTGACGAAACCAACACCAAAAAAAGAAGGAATGCATCAAGTCCAACATCATATAACCGTTAAAGGAGCCCCGATAGCGGAGAGGGCACGCCGCCTCCCGCCATTTAAATACAAAGCAGCCAAACAGGCAATTGAAGAAATGATGAAAGAAGGAATCTGTCAACCTTCATCCAGCAACTGGGCTTCACCCATCCATCTAGTTCCAAAAAAGGAAGGAAGATGGAGATTATGCGGTGATTATAGAAAGCTAAATGCAATCACGGTTCCGGATCGATATCCGTTACCCCACATACATGATTTTTCATACATGCTCCAAGGATGCAAAATATTTACTAAGCTCGACTTAAAGAGAGCATTTCATCAAGTTCCAATGGCCGCAGAGGACCAATCAAAAACAGCAATAATAACTCCGTTCGGATTATACGAATTTAAAGTAATGCCATTCGGATTATGCAATGCTGCACAAACATTTCAGCGTCTAATCGACACAGCACTTAGAGGACTAAACTTTTGTCACGCATATATCGATGACATTCTTATAGCTTCAAAAGATGAAGAAACCCACGAGAAACATTTAAAACAAGTATTAGAAAGACTACGTCAATACGGTTTGTCAATAAATTACTCCAAATGCATCTTCGCAGTCAGTCGACTAAATTGGATATCATATAGACTCCAACGGCACCAAACCCCTCGAAAATTGAATCGAGAGCATCAAAACATACAAACAACCGAAGACTATTCAGGATCTTTGACGATTTTTAGGCTTAATCAATTTTTATCGCCGTTTCATTAAAAACGCGGCCCAAACACAAGCGCCTCTCCAAACTTTCTTAATAGGTGCCAAGAACAAAGACAAACGCATAATTCAGTGGACCGAAGAAACAACCCAAGCCTTTGAAGCCTGTAAACAACAACTAGTCAATGCAACACTACTAGTTCATCCAAAAGGAAATGCAACTCTAGCTTTACATACCGTCGCATCTGATACTTGTATGGGTGCAGTCTTGGAACAGCTAGACAACAACAACAATTGGAAACCAATAGGATTCTATTCTAAAAAACTTTCAGAAACACAAAGAAGATATAGTACATACGATCGCGAACTTCTCGCAATTTACAGCGCATTAAAATATTTTTTGCATCTAATAGAAGGCCAACGTCTAATAGTCAAAACAGACCATAAACCATTAACATTTGCCTTTAAACAAAAAATGGACAAAGCGTCACCCAGGCAAGTCAGACATCTAGATTTCATAGGCCAATTTACTACAGAAATAATTTATATAGCTGGCCCAAATAATACAGTCGCGGACGCATTATCGCGAATTGAAACAGTCAACATGCCTGTCGTCATATCAACTGACGATCTAATCGAAGCACAAAATAGCGATGAAGAACTTCAAGAGCTTCTAAACTCCAACTCTTCATCACTGTGCCTAAAAAAATTACGTTTACAAAATACCGACAAGGATCTTTATTGCGACATATCAGGCAACGACGTGAGACCATACGTACCCTCAAGTTTAAGAAAACAAATATATAATACTGTCCATAATTTGGCACACCCAGAAAATAAAACAACGCAAAAACTAATAAGCAGACGATTCGTCTGGCCAAAAATGCACAAAGACATTGCCACATGGGTTAAAACTTGCCTACCTTGTCAAAGAAGTAAAATACAACGTCATGTCAAAATGATTCCAGAGAAAATAGCCATTCCGGATGAAAGATTTCGTCACATCCACATCGATATCATTGGTCCATTACCACTAGTAAAAGGATTCAAATACTGCCTCACAATTATAGAGCGATTTACACGCTGGCCTGAAGCAGTACCCATTGCTGATATTTCAGCAGAAACCATAGTTAACGCTTTCTATTCAACATGGATCGCAAGATTTGGAGCACCATCAGTTATCACTACAGATAAAGGATCTCAATTTGAATCACAATTATTTCAAGCACTAGCAAAACTAATAGGTGCAAAGAAAATTAATACAACAGCATATCATCCATGTGCCAATGGCATGGTAGAAAGGTGGCACCGTTCATTAAAAGCTGCCATTATGTGTCACGCCAACACTCAATGGATTGACACCCTACCCACAGTTCTTCTTGGACTGAGAACAAGTATCAAGGAGGATCTAAATACCTCCGCAGCAGAACTCGTTTATGGAACCTCATTGCGTTTCCCAGGTGAGTTCTTTATAGATGTGACACCTACTAATCAACCTCGCATCTTTTTAGAGAATCTACGATCCACAATGAGAAAAATACGACCCGCTCCAGTAGCACATCACACAAAAGGAACAACATTTGTTCACGAAACATTATACGCATGTTCACACGTATTTATCCGTGTTGATGCGACCAGACGACCACTCGAAAATCTGTACGAGGGTCCATATGAAGTCTTAGAAAGGATTAACGACAGAGTCTACAAAATAAACATAAAAGGAACTCCGACTACAGTCTCGATTGAAAGACTTAAACCGGCATTCACAGAAAAGGACGTTCCGGATACAACCGAACCGTCATCGAGCCACCAAAAAGACACTCCTCGCATATATTCAAGGACACAAAAGCATGTCCGGTTCGCGCCCTGAAAATGCGGCGCTCAGGGGGGAATATTGTGGCGTCAGCACCTAGGACAACGGTACCGCATACACGGTTCAGACAAACGCCGGAAGCGGCGCCCCGATAGGACAACGTGCAAATACACCTTAGTCCGCCGTGTAGTTATATAAGTAGTAGAAGAAGTAAAAAGTCTAACGACGGAATTACCGCCAAAAATGTGTGCTCTATCAAAGTTGTAATAAAAGAAAGTTTATATACGCCAAATGGGTTTAATAATAAGTATTGTGATAACGTCCATAGTGTTTTATTTACCATTAACGGAATAAACGATAGACGAGCGAGTCGGGTAAAAATAATGCTAACGCGCATGTGACCGAACGCGCCATATTCCCTTACCCTTAAAAGCGATCAGTGTCGGTAAGCGTAGGTAAGCTACCACCGTCAACTGCTGCATGGTATTACCATCACGAGTACGTTAGCCGCCAGCGGCGACTGGTAGATGGCACCGCCATCGCGAGTGCGTGAGTCCCTGTCAGAAATTTGTTGCGCCGCCCTTGGGCGCAAAAAACGGTGAAACCTCACGTACAAAACCATAGGGCAGCATACGATGCGATCGCGCGACCCTGCCCGTTAGCAATCTCCCAACTCATCTCTGGCGTTAGTGACTAGGTTCGGTGTATTTTTGAAAGTATGAGTCGGGTAACATAACCTATTAGGACACTAATTATTAGTAGTATTTCGGTTATTACAATTATAACGCGTTATTTCTTGTTTTTTGTGAATTGATTTTGAAGTTGCTATTTCTTTTGCTTTCAGAATGATGTCTTTCCATTCTGTGCTGTGAATTGAGTCATGAGTATCATCTATTGATTCGATGACATCCGGTAAGTTAACCTCGTTTAGGTATGGTTTGTATAGCAATTCATTAGTTATATCTGATTCTATTCCAGTCGTGTGTGAATTGTGTTCGTTATAGATACGTGTCTGCTTATTAAAAAGCGTTATTGAATTTGTTCGGATGGTGGATTTACCAAAGAGTGAGAGAATACCTGTTCCATCTACAATTGTCTGAAATTCTTGGTTATTACATGTTATTTTAATAGTTTCAGGACTAGCAAGTGAGAAGAGATATTTATAATGTCCCAGAAGTGGTTTCCAGAGATGTCGAATGGATTGCGTAACCCTAATGTCAAATGTGGCTACGTCGGAGGACTTCGACTCTTCAACTAATTGGACTTCGCATGGAGAATTGTAAGACGCCTTGTAGAGTGGGTAATTCTCTTTAAAAATGTAAGTATTATCTATGATATTGCAGTGAGATAATTGTTCGTTCGTTAATTCTATAAATTGAATTTGGTCATCCGTGACAGCTATGTTCTCGGATGATGGTTGTTTAAATACGTAACCTAGTTTGTCATACATAAATGGTGCTGGTGTTAAGTGATATACATTGAGATTTAAACGTGAAAGATGTAGAATATTTATAATATATGCTAATTTTCCTTGAGTATAGATAATTTGGGCCTCCGATGTGTCGATTGATGTTTCCACGTTTTTCAGGTCTAGCGGTGTTGGAAATTCTATCGATGGGTTATTTTCTGCAATTTCTCTAACAGTTTTCAAGAAATGAGCCATAGTAAATAAATAAGGGTGGATTAGACCTCGTTTGGCAAATAATATTCCATCGGTCAGTATGTTTAATTCAATATCTATGGTTACGATGGCTTGATCTAATGATAATGTTAACATTTCCATCGCTAGGTTGTATGCACGAATAGAGGCTGAATTGAGTGATTGTTGTATGTTCGCAAGACTCGTATGTACTTCAAATGTTTTCTCGCGAAGTTTGTCGATATCGTGTTGGATATTTTCAAATTCGTGTTTCGCTATGTGAATGAGATTTGATAATTCTGCTGACGTATTTTACTGTTTCGACTTTGACGGAAACAGTAGTTCTACATAATTTTCTAATTCAGAATTCGATAAAATTCCATAAAGTATTTTCGCTGCTGGTTTGACAATATTTCCGAATATTCCGCGCTTATTTCGTTTTGGTACGCTTAGTAATTCTAGGAGTTTTACATGATTTTGTTCTATTTCGTAGATCCGGCTTGAGAGCAAGTCCAAGTGGGAGCTGAATGTACAGTTGTCTGGAGGAAGCCTGCATTTAGCCCTGGCTCTGGCCCTGGAATTTTGGAGCCTTTCCTTGGCATCTTGGATTTCGGGAAGATCGACGTAATGCAGAATTTGGCAGATTCCCATAGTGGTACGCATTCGTAGATCCTTTTTGATTATTATTGCCGGTGGTTGTCCGTAAATTTCGACTTGGTACGGCTCTGCCTTGGCGAAGCATAATCTGTGATAACATACTCAAAGTAAGGTATATTAATAAATGTTCGTATTTCGTTTACAGCTATTGGTTTACAACTAATGGTGCGTGTAATGTTTTTTTTTCTTTTTTTTAATGTTTCAGCTACTTTATGTTTGCTAACTTTATACGATCTTTATCTACTATTTTGCATTTTCGCTCACTAATTCTAATCTTAATATTATTATTATCTAGAATGTCTATAATTTGAAAGGGTCCGGTGTACTCGTCGTCGAGCTTAGATTTTCGGTTCCCTTTTAAAAGGTAAACATAATCGCCTATTTTATAATTTCATGGTTTCACCTTTTTGTCGTAATAGTATTTAGACCTAAATTTACTTTGTTGTAGGTTATGAGATGCGTGGTCACCCAATTCTTGCAAGGTATGGTATAGATTTGTCACATGGTCATTGTATGTTTGGAATTCGTCGCTTGAATTAATGTTAGATGGTAGTCGTGCCTTTCGGCCGTATAATAATTCGAACGGGGTAAAACGCGTCGCTTCGTGTACGCTTGTATTATATGAAAACATTGCATAATTTAGCAATTGATCTCAATTTCGTTTATTTTTTCCAATGTAATGCTTTAAATACTCTACTAATACGTGATGGCTACGTTCAATAGAACCGTTTGACTGCGGGTGGAATGCGGTGGGGCGTAATTGTTTAATTTTGAATAACTTGGCTATTTGTTTTAGGAGAGCGCTGGTAAAATTGGTGCCTTGGTCGGTCAGTGTCGCCTTTGGACCCCAGGTCCTGACTGGCCACGGCGCCTTCAAAAAGAGGCTTCATTTCCATGCCCTCGTCGACTCCGACAGATGCGAATGTGGTGCGCTGGGCACTCCTGAGCACCTCCTCTTTGAGTGTCCCGAGCATCGGGAGCTTAGAGATGTCTTTAGGGAGGACTTGGGGCGCCTTGGCCTCCAATGGCCCCCTCCGCTGAGGGCCCTCGTAAGTGAGGAAACATTCGACAGCCTGGAAAGGTTTGTAAAACAAGCCATTAGTAAAACAGAGAGAGCTGGACTCCACATAGGAGACTTACCTGTACACGGTGGCCCTCCGGGGCCTGCTCCATGACGACTTCCTCGCTGGTTGGTTCCGGTGACGGGAGCTGCTACCTGAAAAAAACTAGTATTAGTCAAAGCTTAAGTGCACGAGAAGTACTTACCTGGCCTCTTCTGGGGACTCACTTGAACTCTGTAATTCCTCTGGACTGGATCGGTGTGGTCTCCGTCTCTGGCCTGGTCCGGAGCTGGGGGCTGCTACCTAGAATGAACAACTTATTAGAGAAGGTTATAACCATTGAAGGGTACTTACCTTGATGGGCTGAGTGGCGGGTCCATCCGTTGTGGGTGGCCACGATCGCCTCATCTGAAACATACAAGAACAAGGAGGTTAGACGAAGCGTGGAGTACCTATCCTGGGTACTTACCTGGGAAGATAGTTGAGCGAAGTGATGACTGGCTTGGCGGTGGACCGGATTCCTGGGACTGCTGCGTACCTGAAACAGAAAAGAAGAATTAGTGACGTTGATATAACTGGGACGCCCGACTCTACATCAGAGCCATACTTACCTGAGCTGGTGGTCCATCGCTGAGCTCTCCTGCTGGACCTGCGGGCAGTGGGGCTCACAGCCACGACTCGTATACAGGGGCCTGGATCTGTCCAGGTTGCGGGTGTGGCTGCGCTTCGGCGAAAACGGCTTCGGCCAACCCTGATACGGGCCGGGCTTCGGCCGGCGGTTCCGCCTCCTCGTGGCCCCCGCTGGTAACGGTGCGCCGCCCCGGGGGCCCGGCCCATGGCCGGAGCGCTTCCCCTTGGGGGTAGGCCCTACTCTCCGGCTGTGACCATGCGGCCCGTCGCCCGCGAGGCGGTGCGCCTTGGCGCCCGCCTTGCGGGTACACGGGTCGGGTGCGAGCCGGGGGGGTTTTTCCGAGCCCCGCAGAACAGCGCGGTTCCTTTGGCGGTGGCCTCGCTTGGTGGTGGATGGTTGTAACCCCCCAGCAATGGGGGGGCCGCTAAGGGACCCAGTCTCAGGCGCGGCGGGGCTTGCCCCATAACACACGAATGTCGCCTTTGGACAGCCGAATCGGCAAATTATGTTTTGGGAGAATGCATCAGCGATTTCAACGGAAGTTGCATCTTTCAAGGAGATTGCTAATGAATATTTAGTAAGTTGGTCTTGTACGGTCAGAATGTATATATTTCCGTTTGTAAAGCGAGGTAGAGGGCCTAGAATGTCCATTGCAATTTTGTCGAAGGCATCTTTAGGTGTGTCGGTGATAATCATAGGTTCGCGTCCTTTAACGCGTACTAGTTTTTTGCGTTGACAGCTATCGCAGTGGGCTATGAAATCTTGAATTTCGTGTTTCATGTTTGACCAGTAGTAAGATTGTCTTATCCGTGTGTAGGTCTTCGTGATTCCTTTATGTCCTCCGTGGAGGCTTTCGTGATTTTCGCGAATGATGTTTTTTCTTTCTTCGATAGGTGGGATATAATTATATTTTTTTTTGCCTGAGCATAGTGTGACGAATATATTTGATTTGAATAACGTTGCACGAAGTATTCCCTTTATTTTGGTCCAAGGGATTTTGGTACAGGATAAATCGTCTTTTGACAGGCTGATCGTTGTTGATTCGTGTAGAGTCATTACTCGAAATAGTTCGCGTAAGGATTTTGCAAATAGGTTTTCGTCGATAGACGTATTTTCTTCGGTGGTAATAGTGATGCCGAATAGTTTTTGTTTACCTGCTTTGGAGACACAGATTTGGCCTGGCTTAGGATTGGCATTTTTAAAACCTTTTAGGTAGCCTTTAATTTGTAGTTCCTCACCAACGAGGCTTATTGGTTCTCCATGGGTAGTCAAGAGAAAACCAAGGTCGTCCTTTTGCATAAGTAGATGATCGCTAGTTTCCAATATATTTGCTGGTAGAATTTATTCGTGGATGACTGTTGGTTTTTTGGGTGAAGGTTTTTGGCGGCTTGTGGATGTCGTTTTTCTAGGAATAGGGGGTTTTAAGAGTGTCGTGTCTTTGCATTTTGGTTCATTTATTTTTGATGATTTATTCGGTATAGGTAGGCTTCGTGGTATCGCTAGTTGACGACGAGGCGTGATTATATATTCGCTTTCGGATGATTCGTCGAATAGATTTCTGGGGGGAGTAGTAGGCTCGTCGATGTCCATATGTTCGATTTCGTCAGGGTTGGATTTTGGTGAATACCCAATTTTGGGTTTCTTAGATGATGGTTTAATGGTGATTTCGCCTTTTGCAGAGGGGGGTCTATGTCCATTTGTAGTGGAGAGATGGAGGAGTCTGATGAACTGTCCATAGCTCGGTGAGCATTGGCTTGGACTGTTATCTCAGTGTCGCTTCGTTGCTGGTCGTCCAATGTATTCCGTGTCCTTCCATGGGAGAGGGTGGCGAGATGGTAGAATGATCCATGGGGTCATCAGTGTCGCTGGAATCTGATGAGGATATTGTATTTTTAGGTTTGAGGCGTTTACGCCGTCTCCTGGGTTTTCGTATACCGTCTTCGGAGTTCGTAGAAGTCAGAGAATGTTTTTCGCCACAATGTTCGTCTTGAATTTCGGAATTATTGTCCTCGGTTTCAGAAGTTTCGAGAGAGTCTGGAGTTTGCGATGTTTCCGATGACGTTGAGGATTTCCTTCCAGGTCTGGTCGTTTTTCGACGTCTTCGTGGTTTTCGAATTCCGGCGTCTGAACTAGTGGTGGATAGTTTTTTTTCTGCTCGATGGGATGTTTCGATACTTGATTCTGTGGATTCGTCTTCGCTGGACATAGAGATAGGGATCGGTTGATCGATTTTTGGAGGCGAAGCATCGCGTTTCTTCTTTTCTTCTGGGCTGGAAGTAGTTGACTCAAATATTCCTTTCGATGGTTTATGTCGTTTGGAACCTATGGGATGTATGATGTGTGGGGTTTGTGCGCCTGGTGGACTTCGTGAAAGTGCGTCGCCATTGACATTACGCTTACCTGCTTTGTAAGCCACTGTGTAATCGTATTCTTCAAGTTTTAGTTTCCATGTGAGGAGTCTGGATGTCGGGTCTTTTAAGGTTTTGAGCCATACGAGAGGCTTATGGTCTGTGATGAGTGTAAATTTGTGACCATAAACGTAGGGTCGAAAATGTTGAACTGCATATACTACAGCAAGAAGTTCTTTTTCTGTAGTGGAGTAATTGGTTTCGGCTTAGTTTAGTATTCGAGATGCATAGGTTATCGGGAGGTCCTTGCCAATTTCTCCTTGGCTAAGAATGGCTCCTATCGCGTATCCTGATGCGTCGGTACTGATGAGAAAGGGTTCATCAAATTTTGGATATTGTTGGATAGGTTCCTGGCATAGTATGTCTCGTAATTGTTCGAATGCAATTTGTTCGGTTTCAGACCATGAAAATTGGGCTTCCTTTTTTAGGAGATTCGTTAGTGGTCCCGCAATTTTTGAAAAGTTTTTAATGAACCGTCTGTAATAGCCAACCAATCCTAGAAATTGTTTTACGTTTTTGGGATTCAGCGGTCGAGGAAAATTTTTGACGGCATTGACTTTAGATGGATCAGGCTTAACGCCGTTTTCACTGATAATATGGCCTAAATAGGCTACTTCTTTGTGTAGGAAATTGCATTTGTCGGGCTGTAAGACGAGGTTTGCGGCATGAAGTCGGGACATTAATCTGTTGAATTTAGTTGCATGTTCTGCGAGTGAGCTTGCGTAAATTACGACGTCATCAAGGTATACAAATAACTCGATGCCTTGTAGGCCGGTTAGTACAATATCCATCAGTCTTTGAAATGTGGCTGGCACATTTTTCAAACCAAATGGCATGCGCGTGTATTGGTAATGGCCATGAGGAGTAGAGAAGGTGGTTTTCGGAGCGTCGTCACGATTCATTTTTATTTGGTGAAATCAGGAAGCTAAATTGAAGGTAGAAAAGTATTTCACTCCTCCGAGCTGATCCAGGATGTCCGTAATGTTCGGAAGGGGGTAGGCGTCGCCTACTGTTTTTTCGTTCAATGCACGAAAATCTATTACAAGTCGCCATCGCTTATTCCCCTGACTGTCCGGTTTTTTTTGGGAACTATCCACAATGGTGAATTGAAGGGTGAGCTGGAGTTTTCGATAATTCCTTGATTTAGTAGATCGTTGATTTGTCGTTCTATTTCTTGTCGGTGAACCGGTGGATATCGATATTGTTTTACTGATATAGGGAGATTGTCGGTCGTCGAAATAGAATGAGTGAGGACCGTGGTTGCCCCTAAGGGTTCTTCCGGAAAATGGAAACGGTCGGAATTCTGTTCTATGAGTTGATGTATATTGGCCGTTTCTTCGCTGTTCAGGTGATCTAGCCTAAGCAGATCCTTGATTTTGTCGACACGGTTAAATTGTCGTGACGTCGTGTCTTCGTTTGAATTGGCACAGGTTTCGGAAATTATATCGAATGGTTCTATTGGTACGGTCGGGACGATCATATCAACGTCCTCGTCGGATGCATTTATGGCGAAGAGAAACGCCTTGCCATCGCTGACCTTTACAATAGAATTGCCTATCAAGATATCTTTTCCGAAATTAAGTCGTTTGATATATCCCTCTGAAATTTCGGGATTTGCTACGCGAACGTACACTACAGTTCGCGCGCGTGCTTTTAGAATAATGATTTCGGGATTAGAAAAGGGAATGGCTATGTGCCCTAAGGTCAAGGTGCCATCCCTGAAAGAGAGTCGCAGTTTCTTGTCGCAGGAGTTCGGATCCGATTATTCCATCAGTTTCGATTGGAAAATCGTTTGGTACTGTTAATGCAGGAGATTGTGAACGGGTAAACAAATAAATTGAGGTGGCGAGTATGAATGATGATTAACTATTTATTGATTAATATTCGTAGATATTAAGCCGCACAACATGTGCTCCCCTTTCTTTGCTCGGGGTTCGAGACGGACTGAGTAGGCTGTCGTTTGGCTCGCTTCGGAACACGAGAGTTGCCGAAGTTATCCGAGTCGAGCTCGGCTCGAGTCGGAGTACAGTCGCTAACAGAAATGCGCTGAACTCAGTTATTCTTAATAGGTACTACATGGAAAGTGCTCTGAATTCCGTGGAGACTAAGATTAGTTTGCCCTAAGGTTTCCGTCTTGCCTTCGGTTACTCCGCTGATCTCGAAACTGAAGTTTGGATCGAAATGAGCGCCTTTTCGTAGGCAACTATATTTTATTACGTTAATGTCAGAGCCAGTGTGTATCATGAAACGAGACGTCGGGTTTGAATTTAATTCTGGACATGGAATCTCGACTACTGGGGGTCTGCTGACTTTAGTGTAGTTTATTTTGGCTCGTCTTATATGTCGTTCGTTTCCATAATCTGGACTTGGCGTCGTGGTGGGTTGCCCTGGCGTGCGCCATCCCGCAGGGCTCCCGGTAGGTTTCCCGAGTTCGCATTATTACGGTCGTTTGCTCTCGGAGAATTTTGCGGCGGATTCGTTCGATTATTACTATTGTTAATGTTATTCGGATTTCTGCTGTTATTGTATGCGCGTTTTCGACATTGATCGATTGTATGGCCTGCGTTTTTGCAATAGCGGCACACATTGGAATTTAAATTTGATGGATTATTTTTATTATTTCGGCGAGCATAATCGTTGTTGCTGTTACGAGGATTCTGAGAATAATTGCCGACCATTTGCTATTCTAGATCTATTTCTACAATTGTCATAAGTGTGACCCGGTTTATTGCAAAAGGAACAGACGCTGGATTGCCATCGAGTAGCACGGATGTGCGCGTTACAGTCTTTTGCGAAATGTCCTTCCTTGTTGCAATTCTGACATACGACGGGAGAGGCCATTGAATTTTGACATTGTGTTAATTTTTTACGGCGACTAATTTCGGCCTCGGCTGTACGAGCGAGTTCTATTGCAGCTTCTAAGTTGCTGGGATTTGCAGAGACAATACGTGCTACGATTTCGGAGGTTAAACCGCGAATAGAACAGTTTGTCGCGGTATGTCTTGCATGCGCGACTAGAGTTTTACTTACACTTTGTTCGGATGTACTGACGAGACAATCCTCTAGATTGTTTAAAATAATGCGGACACGATTGGCGTAAGAATTTACAGGTTCGTCTAGTTTTTGAATAATGCTAGCAAGTTCAGACTGCCATGATTCAGGAGTTTCTACGCGACCGTAAATTTTAGTTAAGCTTTTGCAAACGTCGGTAGTAGTTGAAAATTCTTGGCTGATAAGGCTCTGTCGAGCTTCTCCGCGTAAACAAGTTTTAAATAATTTGATTAATGTGTCGTCCGGAAGTGAGGATATTAAGCTTCGACATAATTTGCACGAGTCAATGAAATCGCGAACAGGGATATTGTAACCGTTGAATACACGCAAGGTTTCAATGGCGTCTCTAACAGAAAGTGTAGGTTGCGGAGGCGGATTAGAAACTGACATTGTTACAAAAGATTATAAATATGCAATTGAAAAAAAATACGATAGTATGCGAAAGAGTACAATAATATATGAAAGAATACAATAATATGTGAAAGAATACAATAATATGCGAAAGAGTACAATAATATATGAAAGAATATAGTAATATGTGAAAGAATACAATAATATGCGAAAGAGTTCGTAAAGATGATGTGAAATTACTCACAATGACAATAAAATTAACGGGAATATTGTTCCAGACATTTGATTTTCTGATTTTCCCAGATATCGGATGCGGTTGGCGGACGTCGGCCAAAGAAGGTGGTCAAACAGGTGAAAACAGGAGACTCGCAGCACCAAATGGATCCAGGGAAAAGTTGTAAATGGCGGCTGCTGTCCTTGGGTGTTGAAGATGTGGAGAAATTCAGGGGTCCCACCGCTGTCACCAAGAATCTTGTAACGTCCCGAGCGGCAGGAACGTTTAAGTCGTGGGAATTCCGCCGATAAAGGTGGAAAACCCCCTTTCTCACGTCTTCGGGTCGCGTCGAATGTTATTTTAGAGTCACTTAAGAGTTTTGATATTGAATTAATATTGTCGCACAAGTCTTTAGAGTTCGTAGTAAATGGACACAATGTCGGAACTGTTCACTATAATGTAGTATATATTAACAATCTTCACTTAAAATTCTAACGATCCCAATAATTATAAGTCACTCGAAGCGGTTGAAACGAACTGAGTCGGAGTTTGACCTACGGTGTGCTGCACCGTCAGTTTGCTCTTACGAATCTGCATACTGGACGACATCGAATTCGGGCCACGCGTTTGCGAGAAACGACGATCTCGCCCGTGCAAAGCGATGGCAACTTCCTCGCGAACGGCACGTACTAGTTTGACCTACGGTGTGCTGCACCGTCAGTTTGCTCTTACGAATCTGCATATTGAACGACATCGAATTCGGGCCATGCGGTTGCGACGAACGTCGATCTCGCCCGTGCAAAGCGATGGCAACTTCCTCGCGAACGGCTCGTACGAGTGTGACCTACGGAGTGCTGCATCGTCAGTTTGCTCTTACGAATCTGCACATTGAGCGACATCGAATTCGGGCCATGCGTTTACGAGGAACGCAAATCTCTCCCGTGCAAAGTGATGACAACTTTTTTGCGAACGGCTAGTACGAGTTTGACCTACGGAGTGCTGCCCCGTCAGTTTGCTCTTACGAATCTGCATATTGAACGACACCGAATTCAGGCCATGCGTTTGCGAGAAACGTTGATCTTGCCATTGCAAAGCGATGACAACTTTTTCGCGAACGGCTCGTACTAGTTTAATCTGCGGAGTGCTGCACCGTCAGTTTGCTCTTACGAATCTGCATATTGAACGACATCGAATTCGGCCCATGCGTTCGCGAAAAACGGCGATCTCGACCGTGCATAGCGATGGCAACTTTTTCGCGAACGGCTCGTACGTGTTTGACGTACGGAGTGCTGCACCGTCACGTTGCTCTTACGAATTTGCATATAGAACGACATCGAATTCGGGCCATCCGTTTGCGAGGAACGTCGATCTTGACCGTGCAATGCGATGAGAACTTTTTTGCGAACGTCTCGTACACTGGACTCCGTCGATGGTTCCCTCTTTCTTTCTTTCCCTCCTGTCCGCTCTGCCCTCTCCGGCCACGCAGCTTACTAGCGGCGAGAGCAGTGCTGAATTTGAATCGTCTGAGGGGCAGAATGGATTTGCTAAAGAAAAAAAATGTTTATAAACAAGAACATTTAATGAAAATTATTTAAGTTCTGTTATGGAGTGTCCCTGACCGTCCTAACGTAGTTTTTGTTAAATGCCAATTTGCAGAATTTTTTTAATAATATAATAAAGCATGTTTTATTAAATGTTAACAAGTTTCTTAGCGATTCAGTTCTTCCATCCACTGAACCTAAGTTAGAATATTATCTATGCTCAAAAAGAATAGTTTTTAAATATATATACAGTGAAATGCCGTAGAGAATGTACCATGCATCAACTTTGGTCATTGAATCTAAATCGTTATCATGTCTCTTATATATTTACGTTCTGCACCATTCTTCGTATTCCTAGAAAAAATGGTCACCTGTAAATCATTAGATGAGAATGTAAATGAGCACCCGTAAACATAAGAAAGACTTTTCTTATCCGAGTTTTTCATAAACGCAAATCGGAGTAACTCTTATTAATTGATTTCATTTGAGATAGGTATCCAAAACGTAAAACACCGTTTCTATTGCGTATTTGAAATAAGAACTATAAACTATTATGGATTTCCCATTTTAAATATATTTTGAATCTATTTCCATTTGAAATCAAATTCTTCCAGAGAAATGAGAATATTAGAAAAGAATCGATCAGAATGATACTTGTTCTATCAACTGAATCAACTCTCGAAAAAGTTAAACAACACGCGTAACTCGTAATAGTCACATTCGCGAAAACAGATGAAATTAAATTGTTCATTTGCATTTTAAATACAAATACAAGTCATAAAATTACGTGTCCGAAAAAGCATGGCCAACGAAGGGTTAACATTACGATTAAGTGGCACAGTTAATTTAAGACACATCTCGTGGAGGAATTGATCCTCCATTCCTTCTGTTAATTACTTGAGCACAGTCGCTGCAAAATGACAATCCGCCTTGCGAGCCGCGGAAGGAAGGGGCGATAAGGCCCGAGGGTGAACGACGGCAAGCGAGAACGTCGCCGGGAGGCATAAGATCCGCGAGAGAGCAACGGAGAACGCCACTCCGGATGGGACGAGACCGCAGCCCGGGGTAGAGAGAGAGTCTTTCCCGCCGGCGTGTAAACATCGATGCTAATCCGATTATCGGGAGCCGATACCGAGACCCTTACAAGAGGGAGTGGAAGGCCCGAGACGGGAGTTTTATCAGTGGTAGAGAAAGCTCGCAGCCTATGCGACCCGTAGGAGTAAGAGAGAACGCCACGCCTAGGACCCTCGAGCCCCAGGCCGGCGGCCGATCCTAGCCGGCCCCGACGACGGGAAACTTATTTTTGTTCTCCTTCTTCCCTATCCCACCATGTGTCACGTTTGTCAGAAAATTGATATAACGAAATATTGGCCATTTTTAATTTACTTTTGGCTGTAACGGGGCTGTTAGACCGTCTCGAAATATGCTACAATATGTTTGCTTATAATATCATATTGCAAGAATGTCAATTCCTTCGGGAATATAATATTTTATTTCTAATCGTGTTCCCTCTATTTACTGTGCTTACTTTAGTTTACGTTGTTTGCAAAATTTCTCTTTATATCATTTTGCATTCAAGTCAATGCCTTCAATGTGTTTTATTTTAACCCACAGAACTCTGAAATTTCATCATGTTTCAGTTTCCACATGGTTTATAAATTTGTATGTCTTAATAAAGCAGGGACGACGAAAGGTTAAAGTTATAGGTAGACGGCGTAGTTTATTCGAGACGACAGATTTCGCTAAGGAATCGATGCTCCTTTGCCTCCGTCAATTACTTGATCACGATCGTCGCAAAATGACAATTCACCTTGCGAGCCATGGAGGGAAGGAGCGACAATACCTGCGGGTGAACGAGTCCAAGCGAGATCGCCATTGAGAGACATAAGACCCGCGATAGAGCAAGGAAGAACGTCACCCCGTAAGGGACGAGGCCGTAGCCCGTGGTGTAACGAGAGCCTTCATCACCGGCGTCAAAACATTGACAATAATCCGCTTATCGGGGAACCCACATCCAGACCCTCACAGCAGGGGGTGAAAGGCGCGTGACCGGAGTTTTGAGAGTGGTAATGGAAGCACGAGGCCACTACGACACGCCGGAGCAAACGAGAACGCCACGCCCCTCGAGTCGGCGGCCGAGCCATGCCGGTCACCCCAACGCGAATGCGATATCTGGTTAAGGCCTGAAACCCGGACGCATTGGTCTGTCTCGTGTTATTCGATGGATAGGATGAACATGAAAAAGGCTATCGCACTTAGACACACGGCCTCCAGGGCGTATATAGAGAGACACAAGTGTGCAGTCCCTTTACCGCACCGATCCACCGTCGTCGTGCTACCGCCTAGGTTGAGTGTCGACGGACTCGAACGCTTTTCGAATGACTTACCCCCCTCCTCACCTTTCCCCTTGACGTGTGACGTTTGTCAGACAATTAATATAACGAAATATTGGCCATTAAAATTTACTTTGACGTGTAACGGGGCTGTTCGACCGTCGCGAAATACACTACAACTTGTTTGCAAATAATATCATAATTCAAAAATGTCAATTCGTTCCGCAATATAATATTTTCTCTCCAATTACGGTTCAATCTTTTACTGTCGTAAGTTTAATGTGTTCGTGTAATAAAATTTGAAAACTAACGAGAAATCCTCTGGTTTTTGCGTCATAAACTTATTTTTTATATTATGATTTTCCAGCGTTATTCGTTCAAGTTGTGCATACTTCAATATTTTGACTACATTTTGCAGTAATGTATTTGAGTGAGGGAGGGAGAGAGGGAGAGACGGGGGAGAGAGACAGGGGTGATAGAGAGGAGGGGCAGAGGGGGAAGAAGGAAAGGGGGAGAGGAGGGAGGGGAGAGAGGGCGAGAGAGGGGAAACAATTTTTAATTACATTGCAAAAGTAAAAAAAAGTCGATGTTAAAAGTGGTATCGATCGATACCTTTCTTATTGTGAGGTGGTGAATTTTCCCACACGTCACAAGGGGTGTATATAAAGCCGGAGTGCGGAGGGGTCCCTTTGGCAACCATTAGGCTAAGGCTTGAGATAAGGAAACGATGGAAAAAGTGGCGTTAAGAAACTAGGTACGGAGGCACTGCGCATCGGCTGAGGAGCACCGACGTTTAAAATATCCCAAGGGGACGCGTGAAGCGTCCCGCGATTTGAAGGACCTGCTGCCATCGGCCGGTGGCCGACCTAATTAGTCGGCCTAGTGACCCACTTCGGCGGGGCCAGACGGCAGGTCGACTCCCGGTCTTAGGTTCGGCGGGGTCCGCTAGAAGGACATTGTGGCGGGAGCGGAAGTCCTGCCAACGACACCGTCATTGCCAAGGGGACCTGCCAAGAGGGAGAACCTCCCGGGGACAGCGGAGCCAGCTTTTGATCCCGTCCTGGAAGGAAAGGCCCATCCCGACGCGAGCCGTAACGGGGAGCCGTCCCGTCCCGAAGGGGGTCTACTACCGGCAACCCGCTGCACCGCCGTCCCTCTAAGAGAGATCCCGTCCTGGACCGACCGGCGACCGGTGAGCCCGAACCTGCCCAGGAGGCCTCCTAAGTCGCGCTTTTGGTTAGTTATTCCGCCGATTTCGCCGCGAGCCAATTTTTTACTGCCAGTGACCGCGCCGCGTGAAGGGCCGATTGTGACCCGGAATCCCGACGCCGAACGGAGGGTGCCGACACCCCGGGTTTCCGTGAGTTCGGCCGACCGGCGGCCACGTGGCGAGCCGGGTGCGAGCCGCCATTTTCGCGCCGGGCGTCACCTTTCAGGCCGCGTGGGCCGAAGGAATTACCGTAGGTCGTGTCCCGGTATTGGATTCCGTATTCGAGCCGGGAAGAGATCCTCGCCCGCCCATTTTTCCAAGCCCCGTACCGAGCGTGATTTTGTGGCTGCGTGCGCGCAGGTCGCGGTGGG